GCAGTCAGGCCCCAACCAGGTGCTGATGCCAGCAGGATCCTCCTGGGTCAGCGCTTCAAGCCTCAGCGCTTTCCCTTTACTTGCAGGGCAGGACTGATCCTGAACCCTGCAATGCTCCATCAGAGTTATGGCTGCTTCTCTGTTCCAGGGCTCTCCTCCCAACTTCTTGCAGTTTCTTTGTTGAACCTTCACCTTCCCTGCTGCACCTTAAAGCTCTTCCCTGCCAGATTTTGTTGATTAAACTCCTTATCCGTGGCACACCCTCCTTCAGGGCTTGACTGCAGCTGCCTGGACATGTGTCTTCCGTCTGGGTATGACATGCTTGACACTGTAACTCCCCTACTTCCTCCCTGCCAGCATCAGGACTCCAAAAATGGGACAGAGGGAAGGAATACCTGGAATTTTTTTTCTTCTGTTGCTAAGAAAACCTCCCTGCTAGCTCTGTTTAATTCATAACCATCTCTCACTCCCTGCAGCAGCTCTGTCTCCTGGGAACGCATCCCTGCATGACTTGCTTTGGATCCTGTCACCTCTGGGACACAAAGCAGTTGTCAAGGAGCAGAAGACTCTGCTCCAGCTGTGCAAAGAGAAGCTGTGAGCACAGCACTACCCTGCTGCAGTGGCTCATCCCCATCCCTTCATCTCTGCTCAGTACTTCCCAGTACTTCCCAGTATCATTCTTGAATTCCCAAGCCCAAACATCACAAGCTGTGCTGCTCCCACGTTGAGACCACAGGAGAGGTGGCACTCATGCCACCAATCTCTAGGCTCAGACACTGTTTTCATCTACCCATAACAAGGTCTGGACATTAATATTTCCAGCCAGTAAGGCTAGAGTGATATGTTTTCTGTCTGTTGCCTGCTGGGATTTGAAACCCTGTTAGCCCAGCATCGGTGGAAACAGAAGGCAGAGACTAAATACAGCATCCTCTCTCACTTGTTCTGCCAGCTAGCAACAGGGTGAGGAGCTAGAGCTGAGGCAGAGGCTGCCCCGTTCTCTCCGGAGCACACAGTGCCATGGAGTACATGAGCAAGGGGTGATAATTCACATTTGTGGCAGCCTATACAAGTCCCAGTGAACTAGAAAGGGGACATATGCCCTGGAATAGCTGGTGCTGCAGACTGCAGAGCCCTTCCCTGCATGCCATGGGGACACAGGCGATACCAGCCTCCTGCCCCTTTCCACCCGGCGACTTCCTACAGCTGCAGCTGACAGCGGCATCCGAGGAAATGGAATTTGGTACCTTTGATTCTCATTTCCCAGGCTTGCACTCAGCAGAGCCCAGGGAGCTGAGTGGATGCAAACCGTGCTTCAGCTGTGAGTTTACTGGAGCGTGCAAGTGTTGCTCCTTTGGATTACCTGTTGCTAGAGCTGCCAGTCTCTTGTGTCTGGAGTGTTGCTTGCTCTTACCACAAGTGTCTCATTTCCAGCATTATTCCAGCTGCTGCTTTTTTGGTAGGGTGAAGGGAAGCTGGCGGAGGAGGTAGGACCTTGTGCAGAGATGATTAGTGCTGTAGCTCATGTTCTTTTCCCTCGGAGCAGAAACTGCCTTTACACACCACAATCTAATAACGATAATAATTATAAATTACTCTGGGAAAGGGGACTGTGAACCTCACTGGATTTGGGGGTTTATTATGTGTTCGTGGACTTTTTCCAAAACACACATTTAATTGCCTTCTCTGGTGCACACGGAAATTGTCTTCCAGTGTGTGTTTGGGGGGGGTGTAACACTCACAGAGTACGCTTGCCTGTGCTGTCAAGTGTAAACAGACCATTTCTGAACTAAAAATAACCTAGCCTCTGAGTAACAGAGCAGCTGATCTCTGCAGCCCAGATGCAGGAGCTCAAAAGGGTTAGGTCACCTATTTTTCATTAATGGTGCTATTTAATTACAAATTCCCCCAAGTTTGATCCTTTGGAGATTTAAAACAAAGTGCCTCGTTGCTTTCTCTCCATCAAGAACTTGCTTCACTGTGTTCTTACAAAAATACAGATATCAAAGATGATCTGTTAAGTAACTTTGATGTAAGGCTGCCTAACAACACAACACGCATTACCAGGGGGTTCTGCAGCAGCTTTTTGGGAAGAGAAAGATTTTTATCTCTTTAAAATCACTTAACGGACTTAGGGTATTAACCAGTCTGGCCTGTGCTAACCTTTTCTTCTCCTGGCTCTCCAGGCACCTTGTAGATGCTAGTAATTTAAGTCCAACAGTCCTTCAGGGAAGGTAATTATCTACTTTGTGGAGGAGGAGGAATCAAAGCCTGGAGAGGTGAGGGAGTTTGCAGAGCGAGCCAGTGGCAGAGCTGGTGGTGGTCTGCCACGCTGAGTGCCAGGCCAGCTCTAGGTCTGGACTACATTTGCATTCCTGCTCACCCTGGAAGGCCTGTATTGGCATCTGTCAGATGGCATTTGCATTAGACACATCCTTTTTCTGAGGCTCTATTATTGGCACGTCCTGTAATAGCAAAGATTCATTTCCTCTTGCTGAGCTGGTCAGAAGGACCTTGTCTTGGGTCTGGATTCAGAGCAGAGAACCACACCTTGCTGCTGTTCATCAGAACGTTGTGCAACGAGGGGAAGGTTGCAAGATATTTTATTTGTTCATCCTGATCTCATACGTGAGCCATTTTCCCCATGTTCCCTTTATTAATGTTCTGTCTAGGTTTTCTATGAATAATTAAGATCCTAATTTGCCAAAAGAATTAGGTCTCTCAAGGTACCTGCAATCAGTAGCATTTCTCCTCCACCAAGGAAGCCACTGTTATTCAGTCGCTGACAGTAATTGTTATTGTGAGACAGAAGTAAACACAAAACTGCAGCCTTGCCACTCAGCGCTGGCTTTTGTAACACAAGATTTTCTCTTTTTGAAGCAAGAGAAGCATAAACAGGGAAGGGGTGAGGGTTGGGAAGTGCATGGTGGGAATGTGTTAGAGTGCTGCTGTTCTGAAACACAATTGAAGTTCTTTTTAAATGCTCAATAGAGTGGGGCAGATGGAATTAGTGCTTTGCTGCTATACCATCTACAGTAGGGTTGTCTCATTGCTAACCACAGATTTAGGGCATTTGTGGAAATAGCTGGTGATGAATGGGTTTTCATTAGTTTGGAAGAGGGGAAAGACTGCAACGGAAAGTGCCTCCCAGAACCATCCATCACACTGCCCTGCGATGCCTCAATAAAAGACTTTTAACAAATGCTGAGCACAGGACAGATCTCATCAAAAAGCCACTATTCAGATTATTCTGGCAAGGAAAAGAATTGCAACTAGCACCCGTGGGGAAGAGCGTAAAGGAAAATGGCCTCTGTTCCTGGTTCCTGACAATGGAAGAGCAAAGGAGCACAGCCAGAACTGCAAGTAGCTGACAGAGCGATGCACAGCAAACGCACGCAAAGTACCACTGGCCTCAAGGTATGTCATGTGCAGGGAAATAGCATCTAGCATCCTGCCAGGAACAGGGCAGCTCCAACCGCAAAGTTTCCAGGGGCTGACAGCACCATTTCTTTGCAATGAACAGGCAGCTCAGAAAGTTTAGGGAATGGGCTATCTTTGTTCCTACTGCAGAAGTGTTGATTTCACAAGTGCTGAGTGGCGGAATTTGCACTTAGCAACACGACTGGGTGTGATACTTCCTCCACTAGACAGAAACACGACTTCCAGGGAGTTACACCTCCTCAGAATATCATATATTGGGCTGCTGAGTCTCTAGAGGAGGCACTAGTTCAGGATGCCTGCACCACCACTGCATAGCACCCCTGCCTTGTTGGTACCCAGATGATACCCTATCCACAGTCTGAGCTCAGCAGCACTCTCAATGCTGATTTTTCACACCATAATGATGAGAGACCTGGGGGGCTAGGACTGGTTCCACAGGCACCTTGTGTGCAGTCGCACCTGGGCTTTGGCTTCATGTGGGACATGAGAATAAGCAGCAGCCTTTTTCATAGCATTAGGGCTTTTTTTTCATGGCATTTTTTTTAAAAAGAATCTGGCCCCAGCTGACTCTCAGCCTGACATGAACAGGTTGAACACTGTGTGAAACAAGGAGAGCTTCCTGCAGGATGGCAGTGGAAGATTAGTTGGAGATTCCTTATATTTGTGACTTGTTGCATGACTTGTAGACCTTCTTGCACTCAGCCTAGACCATCAATGGGTCAGTTGTCTTTGCTGTAGGTCTAGATGGAGTTCTCCAGTGATGCTAGGTTGTGCTTCAAGTTTATAAAATGCATAAGGGACAAGAATAGGCTTAAATAGCAGAAGAACTGGGTCTCACGCTATACTGCTGCCTGACCCAGGTCAGAGCAGGTCCTGGGGAGCGTGGCAGGCAGCATGGTGCTCCATGAAGCTGTCAGAGCTGCTGTCTCAGCTCAGCACCCCGCCGCAGCTTGCGCTGCCTCTCCCCGACTCAGAGAGAGTCCTGCTGGGATGTGCAGCAGCTTGACTCAGGTCCTCCCTCTCACTTCTTGGGAACTGTCTGAGCATGGCCTCCCTTGGGAGAGATGACTCACCCAGGCGTGGAAAACACGGGTCTGGTCAGTCCCATCAGTGAACAATACGCACACAGGCACTGGCCAAGACACTGGGCTATGAAATGGTCACTGCCAGAATTTAAGGATCCATACCCAGCTCTGCCTTGTAGGTCGCAGCCACAGAAGAGAAGTGTGAGGGTAGTAGTAGAGAACATAAACTTTTGCTCAACTTTCTTTCTCCCATACTCCCAAGTCCCACCCTCCTCCTTCCATATTACAGTGATGGAGATGCAAACCAAACACACCTTTCTTGGAGCTGATCTCTATTTCAAAAGAAGGCTGCTCCTGTAGGAATAAAATATGAACACTGGCATGGGGTGGTAAACAAGCCCCTAGAAATTTTTGCCACCCAGTTACTTCCTTCCCTTCTTAAATACCCTGAAACAAATATTACTACAGTAGCTGCAGCCCCATAGAGCTGTGAGAACACTCCATGCAAAAAAAAAAAAAAAAAAAAAAAAAAGTAGTAAAAAACAACAACAAAAAAGAAACAACCCCAAAACAGAAAAGCCCTTCCCTGGCTATGCAGGTCTGAAAATCTCAATGTTTCCTCATCACCCCTGGGAAAGGGAAGGGCTTTGCCTAGACACAATCCAGCACAGAGTCACCAGCAGTTCTCCACTCCAGCAGATTCCCAAGGTGCCAGACCTAAATCCTGCCCTGACTTGCAGGCAGTGCGTGGAAGCTGTGGGTTCTTCTCATGGTCACCAGGTGAGTGAAAGGAGAGGCAGGCCCTGAGGAGCCACACCACCTTTCCACAGGTCTGCTGAGGTTCGGCTGGATATGGAGAGGGCAATACTTGGGCAGCCAGTGCTTGCTAAGTACCAGCATTTCTGCAGACCTGCGAAACAATCCCAGGATTACTGCTGTCTTTGCCTAACTTCTAGCGGCAAAGAAGGCAAAAAACCAACAACAGAAGTCAAATCCATCAACACTCCTATAAGGTTACTAACTACTTCTATGCAGACACTGCTTTGTCATTCAGCACAGGGCTAAGCATGCTCCTAGGTAACTACGGGGGCACAGCAGGCGCTGGAGGGGACGACACAACTTTCCAGGTTTCTGTGGTGCTTCCCTCAGGCCTTGCTTAATTCCCATTACTAGACAACATTTATGATAACTCACAAACTTCCCACAGGCCCCGCAGGGCACCGGTCCCAGCATGCTCCAAACGCCTCCTGTTCTCATTTAATTTGGCCAAGCATGGCAAGCTGGGACCCGTACCCTTCACAAAGAATACTGCTCAACTGACACAGAGCAGGACATCTCTGTGGACTATTTCCCAACAAAAAAAGAAAAAAAAGAAACCAAGAGCAAATGCGACTTGCTCCATTTAATTTCAATTAACTGCAGCCCTCAGAGGCCAGGAGAGATGCCAATCTAGCAGTCTGTTGGCCATCCCCTCAGGGATGTCCCATTTCTCAAATGCCCCTTTCCCAACCAAGCCTCTGCTCTTCTCAGCTTAAAGTTTTAACAAGTCATTATATCCCACTGTGTTAAACTAATAAGAGCTTTAAAACCTGCAGTTTTTTCCTCTGGACGACGTGACTGAACAGTGGAAAGGACACACGGTCAGACAAGAACCCTTCTCTGCAGTGGGGACTCTGCTACCTCTGGAAGCTCCTGACAGTGACCAGTGTTACTGGATCCTGGTAGAAAGACATAATGTAGTTAGGGCTGGGGAAGAGGAAAAGGAGCAACTGCTGTCCTCAGTGTGCTAGAACTTCTCCCTCCCTAGGTGAGGAAACAGGCAGCTTATTTGCAAAAAGGCAAGTGGTTTCCTAAAAAACTACTGAAAAAAACGCAAAGGCTGCACAGCCCCTTCCCCTAGAAAACTGTAAAAACGTTGGAGACACAGTGTGGCAGCAGGGAGGCTGGGAAGGCAGCATGGGGACAGCTGCTGTCTCTGGACCATGCCACAGCCATGGCAGGGTCCAGAGAAGTCTGGCTGTAACTTGTAGATGCTCACTGGAGAGGATTCAGGAGCTCAGGTCCTCTCTGCCCTCTGTCTGGGTGTTCAGTGGGCAGTAAGTGGCTGCGGCTGGTCTCCACACTGTCCAGGCAGCTGCTGGTATGTTGGCATATCCTGCCCAAACAGACCTCGAGGCTGTTCTGTGACCATAATTGCTGTCAGTGACCAGTCCCAGCTTGGGCTCCCCTCCTCCGGAGGTGTCTCCTATGAGTGTGCTGCTGCTCAGTTGCTCTCGACCAGCTTGGCTAGTCCCTGCCGGATCTCACTGAGCTCAAATATCTTCACATCCATTATCTCTGCCACCTTGGTGACCTCGTTCTGGATCTTCTCTCTCTCGGCTAGGGTCTCCGCCAGCGTCTGCTCAGCCAAATGAAGGCGCCGCTCCAGCTCTGCGTTGCGTGCCTCCAGCTCCTGCCGAAGGACACAAGTGCAGTGAGGTGGCTACCCAACACTGATACACGCTGCTCACAGACCACCACCCATATCTCCACAAAACAGCCCTGCTAGCACTCCAGAGCCAGGCTACCCACACCCAGCCAGCCCAGGTCTCCATCAGTTCTTTCACCAAGAGATCTCCTTATCTCAAGCCACAGCACTCCAGCATGCACATGCATGTGAGCATGTGTTCCCCAAACCCAGGCCATCTGCCCGCAGTTTGCAACTGCGTGTAAACACAGATCTCCTCACATGCCTATCATCTCCAGGTCTGATGGCATTTGATGTTTGGAGATATTATTCTGCCATGAAAGCCAGTGCCTGTGTCTGGGGCTGAGCCCCACAGCAGATCCCCTTGTTCAGAAGCTCGGACAGGCAGGCAGTGCCCCCAGAGACTGCACAACAGATCGTGCTTCCATCTGTGTCCTTGCCCTGAGGTGCAGAGCAGCTTGCATTGCTCCTGCCAGCCAGACTGAGTCAGAGCTCTGCTCCCCAGCCATCCCTGGCCATCCAGCAAGCTAAGCAGGACATGACCTGTCCTGCTCCAGTCCTACTTCAGGGGCTAGAGGAGAGTATGTGAAGGCTGGGTTTGCTATTGCCTGCTGATTGTGTCCCATGTTATATCTCTGAGGGATACGGGGAGGGTGAAAGAAGGCAGAGATCAGGCAAGGACCTGTTCCCACCATCCAGAGGCAGAGATAGGCATGGCAGCTCTGCGGCATTCACTCTTTGGCTCAGAGGAGAAATGGGAACGGATTCCTCTACTCTGAGTGCTGAGATGTCCCAGATCTGCCATCCTTACCTGCAGCTTCTGCAGTGTCTCCTCACGCTCACCCTCTGCTTCCCATCGGCCACACTTTTGGCTCTTTAGCATCTGAATCTCCTAAAACACAAGGAGGAAGACCATCATGTCAGACCCACTCCTGTCCCAGTGGGGCCAGCTTCCACCACATACCCCAACCAAGGCCCCTTCCTTCTCTCCAAGGATCACATAACCACACTCAGCTCCAAATTTTAATACCTCCCTTTCTAACCTTCTACTTCTGCTCTACCTGCTGCTTCCCACTAAGCCATTAGTCCCTAATCAAGATGAACAGATGAGTGCCATCAAATTTCAGTGGTCTCTGCACCCTGCTGCACCCTTGCTCAAGATCAGATCCCAGGCTCTTGGGGCCAGGGTCTCTGCTCAGCTGTTCAGAGAAAGCCTTTGCACACCTTTGCCTTGCCCCAGCGTTTTTTCCTCTAACCTGAGTAGCTCTGGGGAGAGGAGAGACATTTCTTCTCGCTAAGGATCAGGAACCCCAAAACACCTCCATTCCCCAATCCCTGCTTTGTGGCTCCAACCCTAAGGCTCTGTCCACCCACCCTGCTGAAGCATGGCCACCAGAGAGTCTGCAGATGTGCAAATCGGAGAGGTTCTCTCCACATCTCCTTCACAGCCTCTGTAATTAAAACTCTGCTTTAAATCATTCATGTAAATGCAGTGAAAGCCAGAAGCAATTACTACACTAGAAGCTAACTGCAGCTGCAGACGGCTGAGAGGGGAAGGGGTAAGACACAGCCCTGTCATTTGTGCAGTGGCTGAGACTGTCCACTCAAGGCTATTTGCATGGGAGATTCCCAGCACATTACTCTCAGCTTTGCTTCTCTGGGGAGGGAGACCACTGAGGGGGCTGTGCTGGCTTACAGAGGCTCCTGGCTTGCATAGGCAGCACGTGCAACAGCACGAGGCATCCTCTGATCTCATACAAGCTGTAATGACAGACAGGGTGTTGGTGATTGACAGGCCACCCAGCTTCAGGCTTTGCTCTGCTTTCTGGGGTATTACCTCGTCTTTAGCCTTGATCAGTAGTTCCAGCTCCTCCAGGGTTTGGCTCAGCTCTTCCTTATTGTTCTCACTGGAGGAATCGTGAGCCCCCTGTGACTCCAGTTCTGCTACCTACATGGAAGCAAGCACAGGGAAGGCACGCCCAGAGATACAGGAATGTCTTGACACCTTATCACCCACAGTCATTCTCTGTCATATTTTGGCTTCCTTGCAAACCCAACCAGGCTTACAACAGGATAGCAGCTCCCACCCTGGGGCTGTTAGGAAAAAAATTCTCTCCTTCTGCTCTGCCTAGATCACACAGAGAAACACATTGCAGTGAAACTCGGTCTAGAGACTCTCTCTGCTTTCTCCTGTAGTTCTGCACTTCCAGCAAAGCTCAACTGGCTGACATCAAGCACATGAACCTACAACCCAAAGTGACAGCTAGATCCACCTCCATTTACATCCCTGGGCAGAAATTGCATTTACATCCCTGGGCAAGGGAGTTACTGCAGCTCAACCACAGCAGAGCTGGGAGGAAGGGTTTGCCCAAGCGTGTTCCCTGTTCCTGAAAAATTCATCCCAGTGGCTTAGATTATTCATGAAGAGGATTCATTTTTAAAAGCTCATTGAAAGGTCTGCAGCAGCTATTGCTGGGGCCCAAGCACTCACGGGGCCTGCACTGAGCTCTACAAGTGCAGCTCCAGCGATGGATACTCTCACACAGACAGGGCTCGGACCTGTGTGACACTTTCCCAGAAGCAGGGACAGCAGGACAACACTGGCTGGATTGGGCCTCTGCCAGGATCCACGTAAACAGTGGTTGTGAGCTGTCAGACTCACAGGGCCATGGCCAGAATCAACCAGCTCTGGTCCCAAAATGCTCCAGTTTAGGGACAAAAACCTAGACGTTTCACCGAGTTACAGTTTCTTCTGTGATTCTGCAAAGTCACCAGTGGTTGCCTTTCACCCAAGGCTCACAAAATCCTCACTCCTAGCTCCTGGCTGTAAGAACAGCCACAAAACAGCTGAGTATGCACAGAGCAATGGCAGAGAAAAGGCAGCCCAATCCAGCCAGCCCCCAAAACCATACATATGCATATGCGCAACCAAGACCTCTGCTATACTTAGGGCAGGCTCCTGCTGCAGAGGAGAAAATCCATTCCATGCAGCTATTTTCCTGTCTGACTCCAGCACTGAGAATTAGCAATGGGCACAGTGAATCCTGGGGGATGCCTGCTTACTGCATAGACTGGCCACACAACAGCCATCAAGTGGAAACAGCTGTTAATTGCTATAAATCCCTGCTGCCTTTTGAATGAGCTATCTAGAAGTGAAATGGCTTTATGCTGCCTTCTCCAGGGCTCCAGAGTCCTTTCCCAGCCAAACCCCAACTGTCCTAAAACCCTTTCCCAAGTACTCCACGGTTCTTCCCTCCCAAAAAACCCAACCGTGTGACTGTCACTCCTCTGCCCAGATGCACACAGGCCTCCTCAGTTGATCTGTGACCTCTCTGACATTACATGGGTCAAAAGATCCTATTATTCCAACAGAACAAGGGCTTGTTTGTACTGCGTCACCCGCATTTCATGATGTTGCAGCTTGGATTCAGCTAATTATAGCAGATAGAGCAATCTTCATCCTTCCTGTCAGCAGCCAGAAGATTGCCCTGATGCCTAGCTCAGGGTGGGGGCATGGGCCTTACCCAGTATTGCTGGCAGCTGGGAACTAACCCCAGAAAATCTGAAGGGAAGCTGGTATTCTTTGACTTTGTGCTCTGGTTTCCTCCCTTCATCCACAGGGACTCAGCACACCCCCAACTCACTCTGCAGTAAAACAGGAGCTCTTGCGAGAGCTCCCTAGTTACATGGCCTTATTCCTTGACATGTTTTCCCTGCCAGGTTCATGCAGCATCCTGGATTTCCATCCCATCTCCTGCTGACACCCATGGAAACTGATGGGAGAATGGGGTCAAGGGCACCATCTGCCTCTGGGACAGGGCTTCCTCTGACCTGCTCTGCAAGAGCCCTCCTGTGCTCACCCGCTGCCGCAGCGTTTCCGTCTCCTCCTGATAAGCAGCCAGCTGCTTCTTCCACTGGTCCACGTTGGCGTTGGCTTCGTGGAGAGCAGCCACTAGCTTGTTGTTGTTGTCCTGGAGGCTGAAGAATTCCGCCTCCCACTGGACCTCGCTCACCGAACTGTGTGAAAGAACAGGGGAAGTGTGCAGGAGAGCGTAAAAGAGTCTCAGCATGAAGGTTTCTTCCCCCCGTGCTAACATGCGCTGAAACCACGCTCTTGGAAGCGCTGGGCAGCTCCCTGTTTTCTATTTGGCTTTCGTATCACTTCCCAAATTTAAATGCTTCTTCCAGCCCTGAATATGCATCTCTTTCCTTTATCCCTGGATATTTGACTTTGAGGCCATGTGTGCTTGCTTGAAACTGCAGAAACCACACTGTGAGATTAATGGCGGAGGGGAGGGGAGATACAGCTACTATAAAGGAGCTTTGCAATGTGGGACTGTGAATCCAATTTTAAAACCCTTGTTAGATCTGAGTTTGCTTTGAATAAAACCCTACCACCCCAGACTCAGAAGGTAGCAAAGGACACTTGCTTTTGATTTAAAAATATTCTAAGTGTTCAGCTGAGAGCTCAACAGGAGCCACAGGGCAGAATCCAGCCCAGAGTCTTTTGAACAGACAAAGAGCGGAAGCAGCAGGGACTTTGCTGGAATCATCAGGGGAATTAACACAAATGCAGCCCTGGGCCAGCTGGAAAAGTGTGAACATCTTCTGGTATCACAAACTACTGATCTGTAGATAACTGGCATCAACTCATCCCCGCTGTGGGCACAAAGCATTCTCCTTCCCACGCCGCCTGAACAGCAGATTTCACCTCCAAGCTGGAATAACTTTTTACTGGGGAGGAAGCGAAATCAGTACAGTGGAGGGTCTGAGCAGCAGCAGACATGGGGCTTTACTCAGCTACCTAAAGAAGTAGCGCTGGGTCAAAAGCATTTAGGATAAGGACATACACCAAACCCTGCCAGAATAGACAGTTTAGGAGTCAGGAGCAGAGAGCACTTGTGGCAGCCTCACCCCTCTGAAAGCATCTTCTTCAGCCGCTCCTTCTCTGTTGTTATCTCAACATCGGCACTTTGGCTCCGGAATAGTTTGTCTTCTCCTGGCCCATTGGAGCTGATGATGGGGCTGGGAAGTACCTGGGGGATGAGGAAGAGGTGGTTATCACACAGCACTGAAGACAGCCCATGTAACCACAAGGTCTCTGCAAATTCATTCTCAGCCTGGGTTCACAGGGCTAGTTCTCAGTCCCTGTGCTCTCGTGAGAAAAGCTGGCTTTCAGTCCTAACTCTTAGGTAGCGCTGTGCTTGTCTGCATGACAAGGGGTGGCAAAGACCCTCATGTATGGCTCAGCAGTACCGCTCATGGCACAGCGATGACTTCAGAAGCTATGTGGACACAGGGCTTTCTCTTGGATAGGTAGGTTAGCGCTTCGCTCTTCCAGCAGCTGCCCCGCTGTCCCGTCCTCCCTTTCCCTGTCTCCATGCCATGCTGGGGCAGCAATCCCAGTACACAGACACCCTGAGCAGGTGGGTTCACAGCTTGCATGCACCAGCTATTCCTCCCTCCCGACTTGAGGTACTGAATTCTCTGGCTCTCAACTTCCCCTTGACAAATGCCAGCGATGTTACAGCCCGTAACCCGAGTCCCACGGCTGTGCACAACACTTGAGCTGCTCAAGCTGGCCATTTCAGGGTTTTGCTGAATTCTTAATAGGATTTTCTTGCTGGTTCTCAGAGAGAAGTGGAAAGACTTAATAAACTCTAAACACAGACCCGCCAGGCCACCTGGATTCAGTCACAAGTCCAGCTTCTGTACCTTGAATTAAGACACCAGGTGCCACTGGGACAGTGTTTCTCAGGCTCAAGGGAGGGAAAATCTGCTATTGCTCAGATGACTGTGGCACCCACCTTCCAAAGGTGTGGGAGAAGAAACTCACAGCCCTTGCACCAAAGTATACCCTCCTCTATGGCTCCATATTCCTGTGTACATCAGAGCTAGCAGAGGCAAACAATTTGTCCTCCCAGGCTGGAGGGAACTGACAGCGGAGCAGAGATGCATATGCAGAAGCCAAAGCAGACTTTGCGTCTTCCAGCCCCTCCAGAAGACCCTGTCTGCACAGTCTCTTCTCACAGCAGGAAAGAAGCTTGGCACTGATGGGGCAAACTGAGCTATAAAAAGACTCTCTGAGCAATGAGTCTCTGGGATCCTAAGTTGGGGGCTGTGAGACCAGGTGGCTGGCGAGTCCGCTGGGGTTCATAGGTAGCCCTCAAATGTCTGTGGTAAGGGCAGCCACCTGCCTTCGGAGTCGGCTGACATCTATATATAGAGCAAGACAGGGCCATAAGATGTATTGAACACCAGCTTCATGAAGCCTTCCAGAGACTGACTGAGAAGTGACACCTGCAAAACACAAGCCTGCCTCACCTTTACCACAAGGCGGGGAAACTGAGGCAGGGAAGGGGCAGAAGTTTCCTGTTGTGATGTGTTGAGCCCCTGTGAATCCAACTGAAACTGATAACAGCTGAAGATGCTCCACACTGTTTTGTTGCTTACATTATCCACAGTGACATACTCTGGGATGGGGATTGGCCTAAAAGGTAGTAGAGGACAGAAGAGAACTGCTATCCTGGGATTTCCCCAGCTCTGAAAATCTGAAGCCTAAGTAAACTAGTGCAGATGGAGAAAATGAGGGAGTCCTGATCTATTTCAGGAGACAGATCTGCTCTCTGCTCACTTGCAAACAGAAACACAATCAATTATTCAAGGATGAAACTCATGTTTGAAGCTCTACTAATGTAGAGACTGCAAATCAGCAGTGGGACAGCGAAAGAAGGGATGATGGGCTGGTGTATTTACAGGCTGGGGAAGGCAGGAAATGCAGGATAAGATCTGCACGCCCACATGGTAGGGGACACTGCATGTGTCACTGTGTCAGCATGCTGGCTGCCGGATGGCTGCAGGCAGGGGCCATGCATTAATGGTGTCCAAGCTCTCCCACTGAGAGACAAGGCAGGCTGAATGGGAAGAGTGAGCGTGGGTTCCCATTGTGGCAGTTTTAACGCTGCTGAGTGAGGTAAGAAGAAAGAACAGAGCCTTAGGCCGTTTCCCTGATCTGTGACCTCCTCATCCCTTCGGTTGCAAGCTGCCATCGCAGCATAGAGGAGATGAACATGTCCTGTTGTGGCACCTGATGAGTTCTGCCTGCTGTAAGCAGGATAAGAGGGAGTATCTCTACTCCCAGCCTCCACCTCCTGGCCAGGGGAGCCCCCATAGCTGCAGCTGGCCACAAATCTCTGTCTTGGGCAATTATTACTGACCAGAGTCTTTTACCTAAAACTTTGGTCCTGCTATGAGTGCTCTACTCTACTCCCTTCTTCATTTGCCTCCCATTAGGATGGGGCTTAAAGTTAGCAGGAGTCAAAAGCTAGGCACGTTTTCCCCATTTTTGCACCCCACATGACATTTCCAGTCTCTGCAGAGCCACCGCCTCCACCTCCCCCTCTTTTCCCTGCAGGCCAAGGTACTGTTCACACTCCCTCCTCCTCCTCTGCTGCCACTCCATCTGTACTCAATCCAGAGAACGCAGCGTCCTCTATCCTACAGCTCCTCTGCTACTGCCAGGAGCTCTGGGAAATGCAGAATCACCTCTGGAGTGAACTGTTTGGGAGGGCAACTTCACCATCAGCACCAAACTGCTTCACCATGGGAAAAAGCAGCGTAGAGTTCTCCGCAACTTATCCTCTCCCCTCCATCCCACTGCTGCTGGAGTTGGTTTAGCTGTACAGGGAGAAAGGTAACAACTGCAAGTGCAACACATGCGAGAATGATCTGTGATGGGCTTAAGCTTTCTGGCTTGGTCCCCTGGGGGAAAGAAAATTGAATGACTGGTTGTCACGCGTGCAGTTCTACCTTAGGGGAGAGTTCCCAAGAGGGGGGAATAATTTCTACTCTCATAGCACAGCTTCTCTTCCACAGTGGAAATATGTCAGAAACAGAAGAAGTCTGGCCAGAACTCCTCAGTCACCAGCTCTAAGAAATCACTTTGTCTTTCCATGGACCCCCACAGACAGCACCATCACCTATCAGAGACACTTGGAGAAGAACCCCCTGCAGCCCAAGAAGAGGGAGAAAAATGTTTGGAAATGCCACATGTCTTCCTTTCTATATCTTCAACCAGGCACCATGCACTCCTTCATGCTACTTGCCTGTTACTATCACACTGAGCCCAGGGAGAGCCAGCAGCTCTAAAGAAAAAAAGAAACACAACAAAAACCACCAAACCAAAAAATCCCAGCCACCACAACAAAAAACCCCACACTTCCAGCATGGCTTTATAAGACATCAAATGGTTTTGATAGTTTAACTGGCAAAGATGGAGGAGTGTGAACCTTCCCAGGAGCTCCACTTAAGCACTAATTAGTTAATCTACTTCATGTGTTTCAGTAGAGTGACCTCAGGGCCACAGGTGTCATCAAAATGTGAAGCTCCAACCTCAGTGTCTGGCAAGAAAGCTCTCAGAAAGGAAAGGGATGAGAGCAAGAAGTTACTAGAGGAGATCAGCACAGTGGCCATTTTCCCCAGCTGTCATTGCTCTGCAATGAGCTTTACTCATGCCTCTTTCCAAGCATTACCTGGTGAGATGTGATATTCAGGGCAGGATTGGTCAGCTCTGTTTTATCCTGGGACTTCTCCCTCGCCAAACGGGCTGCTTCTTTTACTTCCTGGAATTTCTCTGCAAACTAAAGGGGAGTGCGAAAGTCACTCCAGTGCTACACCAAAATGCGGAACGAACTAGAATTGATGGCTGGGTTACCCATCTCTTTGTAACTTAGTTCAACATGCTTTTTAATTTGTCTTCAACTAACAATAAAATTCAGGGAATAGCCCCTGTCTGCCCCTGCCCATGATGCTGGCACTCAGGGCTGTGGGGTTAGCAACAACACAAATTGAGTCTGAAGTCCTAATTCAATTTGTGATGCTTAAAACACTCTGCAAATATTACTTTAAAGCTTTTCCTAGCATCTTTGTGTCCTGCATTAGATTTTAGCACAGTGGGAACAGTATTACATGAGGTTCCTAAAGACTTTTCTCCAGAGGCTGATCTCCCCTTCAGGGTTTCGGGGACATTCCCCCTGCTAGCATCAGGTTTCTGCCAGCACCTGAAGCATTACCTGGGAAAGATGTTGCTCCGAAGCAAAGCCCAACCCATAGACCGTGTTGGCTCGGCTGTCTGCCCATTGTCCAAATTTCTGGGACGTCTTTGTGAAGGTCATGTTGGGGGTAATAGTGCTGTTGATGATTGCCTGTAGAGAGAGGCAACAATGAGAGTCAGAGAAAACTCCAGCCTGCCACCCGGGGGTGGTGGTGTGGGATAGATCACTATAATCCCTGTGTACTCTAGGAACTAGGGGTAGAAAGCTCAGGTTTTTAACCTATAAGACAGCAGTTCAGGCTTTTGGTGACCAAAAGTGCTTTGAGTCCAGCTACGTGACATGAACAAATCTCAATCATCTTGTCTACTGAAATAGAAAAAAAGCCACAATATCATCAGCTTCCTCCATTGCTGGAAAAGATGATAAGAGACAGTGTGTCTCTGGGGACTTAACAACTTTATGATGTTCTCCATTTTCATGGCAAGCAAGAAAAAAAAAAAGGCTTAAACAGCAGTCAGGACTAGCTATTATGAAACACTCTGCGCTGGTTAAGGTAGCAGCAAAATAAATTCCCTGGGAAGATTGCCTAATCTCTGCCATTGGAGGTCTTCAAGAACAAGTCAGGAAAACGCCTATCAAGAACAGTTTAGGGAAAGTTAATCTTGTTTTGTGGAAGTGACTAAACAGACTACCTCTGAGACTCCCTCAACCTCTGTCTGTCATTTCATTCTATCTACAGGGGCTGGTTTCAGCACAGGATAAAGGATCTCAGAAAAAGCTTGTGTTTTGCATGCATGGGGGATGAGAAGAGAGTGGGGCAGGGAGGGGCAACATCAGACCCTAGGGCACATTTTTCATCAGCACAGATTCTAGTATCTAACACTAAATACACTTGAGCATGGAGGCAGTATTTTACCTTCCATTCCCTGCAGTGAAGATGCTAGAGTGCCCATGCTGAGAACTGACCAACGTGACACCAAAAACATCAACACCAGAGCAGACTTTCGCTGCAGAAAAAACTGCTGTCAAGCTGTGCGATGTCATCAGCAAATGCCCCCTACCTTGGTGCCCCCCACGCTGATGATCCGGTACACGTTGCGTGTGGCATCGTAGAAATATGAGACAGTCAAAGCGTGCTTGCTGGCAGGGATCCAGTTCCGTTTGGTGGCAGGGTCGATCTGGAAAACATGGGCCCTGGTGCTGAAGATTGGCTGCTCCCTGCAAGAGAAATGAACAGGGCTGTCAGGGCAGAGGGGAAGCTGAGCAACGGGGGAAGCCCATCGACTTCCTGGCACTTGTGTTGCATTATGCACTGCCAGCAGCACTTCTGCTATTCGCCTTCTCTCCAGGGATCTGAGACACTAGGTGCTAAGCAGTGCAGCCCCCACGGACGCAGCATCTCTCAAACAGCAGCCCTTCACTGAGCCTCTGTGCAGGGAGTAGCAGCTCCCCACTGTCTGGACTGGTATCATCTAGTGTCCCTTCTTATTAGGGGAGTTATGACCCAAGTTCTCCATCATTCCTGGAAATTGCTTTTCCAGGGACCTCTGCATCCTTGGCAGTCTTCTAAAGCCCAATTTAGAAGCTGGAGGACCACTGGCTGATGCCCCTGCAAAGTAAAAGCCCACAGCTGTTTATGCCTCCTATTTGCCCACTATCCAGGCAGCATGATGACAGCAGCTTTCACTGCACACTAGTGATCTTGGTCTACAAAAATACCCTTGGCACAATATCAAAGCTACCAAGGATGTTTAACCCCAGGTACAGGTTTTTACCTTCCTCTAGAGCTTCTCTGTCCTCCTCTGCAGTCTTCGGACATTTCCAAAGACCACAGCATGGTCATGTCAGCAATAACAGACTATACCCTCAGGTTAGTAGATCTTATATGCACGTTCACCAAAGGATGGGCACGAAACTTGCAAGCAGAAGCGCAAATAGGACATCACAATCTCATGTTTGGAGCATACCAGATGGCCCTACACAACACAGCCAGTGTGGCAGTTATGCTAATGATTAGGGCTTATATTATTTTTAGCCTGACTTGAAGCTTTCTTTCACCATCCCTCAGCACCTTAGTGGTCAGTTCATGGCAACTTCACCAGGTATATGATTTCTCTGGTTGCTGTATTACTTTTACTTCATAGGATATCTCCAAGTTGGAACTCTAGGGAAATGGATGGATGGAGGATGTGTTTGGGATGTGAGCACAAAAATCACCTTCCCCTCAGCACAGCTCTTCCTCCCTTGACTCATGCTTGGGAAGCACATCCTGCAGTGAGAGGTCACATTGCAGGATTAAAAGCAAGTCATTTAATGAATTAAAGGAAACACTTCACCACACAATGTGCAGCTGCTGCAAGAAAGCACTGAACCAAGCACTGCCTGGACTTTGTAACCAGTAATATCTGAGCTGAACTAAGGAGTTGAATCTCAGGCATCAGGATGTAACTTGAGTGTTTCAGGAGGCAGGAAGGAATGTTTCCATGACACAACAGTCCAGGTGCATCAGGGCTTGGGGTCATCATTTGACTTTGGTTAAAACCCAAGGCACTGGCCATTGCCACACTCCTTGCCCAAACCTAGTGAAATCTGATGTGATTGGAAACATCCCACACCCCCATGACAGCTGCAAACAAGGCATAGTCACAATCCTGCTACGTGCAAGCTCCCAAAATCCAGACATTTATACTTCCTCCCCATTCCAAGTCCTCACAGCTGCAACGAGCAGATTTTCCCATCAATCCAAAGACAAAGGTACCTGGTGCTTTCTGAACCCATCACCAAAACTTAGGAAGGAAATAAAATGCTCCCTGCTACCTCCCAGTTTCAAGCCTTGTTCCCAGGTTACAGCCCTGACTCAGATCTCTTGTGACTGCATGAGGGTCTAAACCAGCCCCTTCTCCGCATCCTCTCTGCCTGGTTTTATTCAGCCACGGTCTGTTTTTGGAATGAGATTCAAGTTTTCCAGGCTCCACTAACAGATACTAACTTTTACATGGATCACGGCTTATCCTTTGAGACACAGTATCTACAGAGTAGGGAAAAACTAATGTTTCTGCACCTTAACCCCCAAGTCCTGGGCTAGTGTCAGAAAGAACAGAGGAAGGACATTACCTAGTTGTTGACATTTGTTAGTAAGGGTAAGACAGACTACAGGCCAGTGGAGTTAGTATGCGTCTCTCCTCCAACAGCTTCCTTCTCAGGTCTCCTAGCTGGACTGAGGCTCCTTTTTGGTTTTGCCTCCACAGTGATTCATTTCCTAGCGATGGAAAAGTCAGCTGTTATTTATCACACAGAGCACAGACAGAGCGTTCAACCAGGCAGCATTCAGGGGCTTCATTTGTCCCAAACTCACAAAGCTTGTAATTTGTAATGATTTCTCATCACTGAACAAGTTTTCTTCCCTGTCATGGGAGATAATTGGGTGAGCTGTGTAACTGGAGTAAATCGCTTTGGCAGCAGGCTCTGGCTGTTGGGAGAGGGCCACAGAGGAGCCTGGAAGGCTCTAGTGTTTCCAGTCATGCACACGTGATGCTGGCTGCATGATGGAAAACCCTCCTCAGAGATCACCCCTCACGCACGGCAGCTATTCCTGTGCTCACTATTCATCAGTGAGGTCGGCACCCAGAGTCAATGGAAACCATCCTGCTGACTGCAGCGGGTTTTGGACCAAGTGCTGCTTCAGACAGCCTCCTGCCATGCACCCTCACCCAGAGCTCTCTGACATTCCTGGAGATAACCCTTCTCTGCCCAGAGGGACGGGGTTTGCAGCTGCACCTGGGAATTCACCCACCATGGGCATTCCCTGCCCTGTGCTCCACAGAGCCAGGCACGATCCCAGACCACAGCAGTGATGAGCCCCTGCGGCTGGCCCGTGCTGTCTCCCCACAACATGAGAGTGAGCTGTGCTATTCATTTGCTTTGTAAATTAGTCTCTCCAGTAAACAGCCCTGCTCTCCTCCATATCAACTGAGACTGCATATCTGAAAAAGGGAGCAAAACTGTAAGAAAGTGAATTTGCATGATGAAGGATGCCTGTAGAAGGGGTAGAGCGCCCAGATCTCCCAGCCTCTCTGCCAAGTCTGCCTTCAAGCAGGTCAACTTAGAATGTCCTAATACTTGGAAAACCCCACTGCCTTCCTACTGATCACTCCAAGACAGGAGAGGCTCAGGAGGCCACTCAGATGTCAACTGTCCCGTAATTACAGTGTCACTAACCACAAAAGGCAGCATTACTTTCCTTCTGAGCACCAGGAGTAGAAAGTAAAATGTCATTGTAAGGCCTGTCAGTCAGCAGAAAAGCCCATCTTCACAGGGTTTAGCTTATGTTTTTTCTAGTCACACGAGGCTGACTTGGCTGCTCTCTCGACCAACACACAGCCCCTGGGCATGCATGCTCTTTTCCTGGTCTCAGGTACACCAAAATATGCACCGCTGATGGTGTTGATGGGGAAGGGCGCTCTACTTTTTGTGCCTTCACATAATCACTGCTGTCTCGACACTCCTCGTACATTTGTTTGTGCCTTATGGTCTTCCCTGGAGCAACAAAACTTCGTGCTGTCTGCAAGAGGTCTACCCCTTCCAGTTACAAATGCGAAAGTCTTGCAGACTCTCTGAACAGGCCTGCTGCCAGTTACACCAGATGTGCTTTGCTTCCAACAGATAGCAAACTGGCAGCAACAGCGGCAGGGCATGTCGGCAATTTCACCTGCCTGCCCAGTGCCAAGGAGGGAACTCCTGCACGCAACTGTCTCCGAGAGAAGCAAATGGCAGAATCTCCTGCAAGTATCTTTCAGGTCTCCCCTTTTCTCACCACAAATGGGAACAGTTGCTGCCAACTTGCACGGCCCTAAATAATGGTGACTGGAGATTGCTTTATGAGGCAAGGACGCTATTGCCTTCTCACAACTACCCGAGTATAGTGCCAGCCTGGCATGGGGACAGTGCTTTCTAGGACGCAGTTGCTTAAGCTCTGTAGGTAAGACTCAAGGAGAGCTTTGTGCTCTGCTTGGGAACGGCGCAGAGACGTTCACACCCCCTTTGCAGTGTTTGTGCAGGGGGAAAAAAAAAAAAAACCAAACACGTTGGTTTTTGTTTGTTTTTAAATCCAGCAAATGATACAATTTGTATCCAGCTAGTGCAAGAATTTCATTGTCAAGGATGCTGGCTAGCCTGGAAACCTGCCTTTCAGTACTCACTTACTTGTCTGACAAGGTTAAAGCAAAAGCTACAAAACAAAAGCTCTCCTACAGTCTAAGTGGTGGAGCACAACAAAAGACATTCAGAAAGAGTAGGCAGCAATGCAAACCAAGAGAGAAGAAAATCAAGAAAGTCTGCAAATCTAGGGGCACATCTCTAAGAAGTCACAAATGGCTTATTAAATGGAAAATGGCTCTACCTCACCCTTTCTGTGATCCCTCAGCAGCAGAGAACCATGGCAGGGTTTGACACAGCTCAGCGCAGCTGAGTGGATTAGCAAGGTGGGGACACAGGCAGGACTGCAGGGCACTGGCATACGTGTGGAGGGAAGTTCAGGGCAGGAGAAGCACAGGTGCTGAAAGCCAGATCTGAGATGCACGAGCGGAGTAATGTCTGAGGAGCACTCGTCTGCATTCAGCTTGCTTCTGGCCAAGCTGCTGACCTCTCGTTTCCAAAAACACTACAAAGCATTTAAAAATAGTCCTGGAAGTGCCAAAGATTCAAACCGTCATGTCCTCTCTCCCACTACAGCCCTCTTTTCTCCTGTGTTTTAAGTGTATATGCTGGATACACCACACATCCCTAAATGCTGACACTTCTTTTCCTGCTCCCAGCTGGGAGTCCCCGTAACAATACAGACATAGCAGTGAAAAGGGCATGTGTAAATAAAACCACTTACATCCCCCCAGGGCTGTCCTTTGCAGATAATTAAGAAAAACCAAAGCAAATGACTGAAAGGACAAAGATCTGGCTGAGACACAGACATGATCAGCAAGTGCCTGATGGCAACTGGAAAAGATCCAGGTCTCATCACTACCAGCATTTGTTCCCAGCCCAGGGGGGAAGGGCAAAATTCAATATCCCACGTTCCACTGACAGCTTAAAAATGACCTGTCCCCGATCAACGTTCCCCAACACTCCAGCAGCAGGCTTCCAGCTACCAAGGAAAACCAAAGAGCTGAAAATGAAACGAAGAGGTGATCTAACTGCTCCAGCTATTCCTAACGTGTTCTTCACATCAGCAAAGCACCTGGCTCCAGGATGCTCCCCAAGTAAAGACCTAAATGCCTCCTCTTGTGGCTTCTCCTTAAAGAGAAGCTGGAAGAAGGTCACTGGGTGTTTGGGGAGGACACGTAAATATAGGGTATGGATCAATCATTTCCAATTTGCTCACTGACTGGAGCTTCTGACTCAGTGGTCATTAAGACGACATGTAAAACTGCATGCTGGTCTCATTTCCACCTTGGCTCTTATATTATTCCACTCTCTACAGCATCCAAATGGATTTCCTAATGAATAGCTGCTTATTTCACCATTGCCAGGAGAGCAAATCATTATTTGTCCTCTTAATTTATCGTCTCAGCATAGTAGCAATGGACTGAGCAGGCCAAAGGGACCAAGTTCGCTAAGGCTGGATGAGGGACCTCATCAGGTCAGGACACACTGATGCACTGCCAAGACCCTGGAGGAGAAGCAAGCCCTGCAAGCACTGCCCTGTGCCAAGGAGGTACAGATGGCATCAATTCAGTCCCTTGCACCAGCGCCACATTTTACCTAGCACGGGAACAGTGGGCATAAAAGGTGCCGAAGTCTGGAGAAGACTAAAACTGGCACTGCCCCCTCTATTTTGTGTAATCTGAACACATATGTCACTGGATGCATGGACTGTCCTTGAGTGTCCTGTCTGGATGTGGGCTCTTTACAGGTACATAGGCCTCTTCCCAAGTGGGATCTTCTAAATTAACCCAGTGCCGCTACAGGGAGAACACAAATGAAAGGGAGATGAGCCACCTTCCAGAGAGGCCTCTCCAAAGAGAGACTGCAGCACCTCCTGTTAAGAGACAGCACCAGGGAATGGTGCCAGGATCGTCCCATGACGCACCTGCAATGCGTGGGATCGCATGGATCGGTATATATACAGGCATCACACTAACACAGGCTCACCACGCCGCAGTAAAACAACGTCCAAACTGAAGCAGAGCTACTGACACCAGGCTGCTGGGAGCTCACTCGCCTGCCCTGCCTCAGAGCCCATCTCACGCAGAGGGCTCATCACACACACCTACCTACGCTTTGAGCAAGTCACCTTTATTCCCTCTGCTAGGTGTGTCTCTAATAGGGGGATTTCAGAGTCCTCTCTCTAATCCTCACCAGAAAAATACTCTCAAACCTGAAGACGAGTCTAATAGCAGAACAGAAGTAAAAAGGTGAAGAGATTTTTGGTTTAAGCCACAGGAGTCCCAGACAGAGTTGGGAACAGGACATGTTCCCCACTGCATCCTCCAGCCTCCTGCCACAAGGTAACAGCATACAATCCTGTAAAGAAACGCATCTCATTTTAGGAAATAGCCCAGGTTAGAGGAAGGGACAGAGAGCCTTTGAAAGAGCTGTTCAGCAAAACGTTAATGTCTAAATTTCAATAGCACTGTGGCAGCTCCAGTGTGTTTCACTGCATGCTTGTTCCCTTCTCTCTTTGCCTCACCCCAACTTCAGCTGCCTGTTGGGGTCTTTACACCTCAGAGAAACTGTGTTTTATTGCTTTTACTTTCTCAAGGTATTTCCAATGCAAATAGCACCTCTTTGGGAAAATCCTGTTTGACAGTTATAGGCTCTCTCTCCAGCAGGTTCGTAAAGCTAAGGGCAACTGCTAAAAGGCAGCCCTCCTGCCAAACATCTTTGAAAGGGAGAGGAAAAAATCAGGTTTTTATTGTTTACTTTAGATCTGTTATTGCATCCAGCAATGTCTTTGCTCGATAGCTTCTACACCGGGTGTGGGGAGGGGTCTCTTTCTGACTGCACAGCTGCATTCGATTTACGCTTTGTCCTTGTTCTTCTCCGATTTTCTGTGCAATCTGGAAGATTTTTCCCACTGAGATCCTCTTATGTTTTTCTTCTCAGTAATTCTCACCTCACAATCCTGTCTGCCTGCCTGTAACATGGCCATTTAGTTAACTGAATTACTTATCACATCCTGCTCACCTGCCCCCATCCTTTGCTGCATGACCAGAGAGAAGAAACCTTATGTTTGCTGTGGAAAGGGAAGCTTTTAGAGTCACCATTCCCCAAATTCATATTGATGTTTCTGTCCTGTTTTCAGTTCCAAAGTGAGGTGTGCGACAAAAGAGCAGGATTCAAACCCAGACACAAGTAATAGAGTTTTAAGAGAGAGATTTGGTGGGTGAGTCCGAGTTCAAAGCACTCCAGGGACACAAATAGTGAATAGGTCTGAGGTTTAGAATAAAGTCTTTTAGCCACTCAAGGCAGCAGTTGGAATGTGCTGGGGAGGCTAAGCTTGGTCCTCATTAACTGCATTTGCCTGGGTGCTCCTGGATGGGGTTCAGTCAAGGGCATCTCTAGGAAGTCCATGTGCTGTTCCCCAGCCTGCACCTCCTCTCACTCACTGCAGCTTCTCTTTGCAGGGATATTCATTTACTTGTCAGAGACAGGAGCCTCTCTGCACTTGGACGCAGACAGGATAATCACTTCAAATACTTTGCTCTGCATCTAGGCAGCCTGTGGCCCCCCTTCACCTAAAAACCAAACCAAAAATGCCTTGCAAGAAATCACAAAATACCAGATCAGCAGAATCATTTGTTTCTGTGGATCATGGGCACAACAGTACTCAGCCATGAAGGCAGGGAAGGACTTTGGGGGTGCGATGTTCCTACTGACAGCAGCAGGATACCTTCAGAGTGCAGAGACCTAGGAACATATTTCTGCGCTGTGGCTGGGCTCAATGCGCAGCCACAATGAGCAAGCCCCCCCAAAAAAGAGGTCGTCTTCTGATAAAGGCCCATTGCCAGCCGCAGCAGGAGGTGAGGATTTCCCAGCTGCTGTGGTGGGAACTTTGCAATTCTCACTGCCATCTTCTCCAAAGTCCTTTCTCTCTGCAAGATCTGGTTTCCTGGATGGGTGTTCACAGGGCAGCTTGTGCAGAGCAGAAAGGGGTACGTGAGAGCATGTGAGCGCGAAAGATATGTGGCTCAGCTCTGGCACTCAGCCCACCGCCACGCTGAGTCAGCTGGGAGGCCGTGCTGGCTGCGTCAGGGCCAGGACTCTCCCTTCTGTTGGATCGCCAGCCAGAGCACTTGGATGTGAGAAACCCTACCAAGCAGCACAGTCTGGGATAACTTAAGGGAGGGGGTTGGCCAGGGTGGATAGGGGGGAAAACGTGTTTCAGACAGACAGAGCCCAGTATTTCAAAAGGCAGAACTGGAGCAAAGAGAGGCCGGAGAACCAATCTCCTCCTCCACTGCTGTCTTTGTTTCCTTTTATCTTCCCTCAGCAGCTTGAATAGCTGCTGACTGTATGTCAGTGCTGTTTGGGGAAGAAGTGTGGGTTAATGAGAGTCAAACCTCATCTCTTTCCCTTTGCATTTCTCCCCAAAGCCTAACCCTTCCTCTGAGCCAGGGACTGGGTGTAACTCCCTCCAGAGACTATGGACTCTACTGCTTTACTGTAAATGGGTGCAGAGAGCGTGCTTTGATATTGCCTACCCAGGATTTGGGCACAAGCCCCCAGGACACTGAGTGTTAGACACTGAACTGCAAAACTGCTTTGGGAACAAAGTTTGGGAGGACCGATTCCCAGCTCTTTGTTCTAACCACCAGGCAGGTTTTCAAGCTCTCATAGCTGCAGCTTTGCTTTCATTCTGTGCTGCATAACGTGACCTTGGGGAAAATGCATAGATGCTGCTAGTGTCCAGATGGGACTGAAGGGGGCCGGACTTCTACCCAACAGCCACAAAGGGAAGGTGGAGTAGTGCAGCTCCAGTAATGGGAGGTGGCGAGGGGCTGCCTTCCCTTCTGCCTCCCCCAACTCCCAAGAGATTACCCAGCAGGGCTTAGCACAGGAATGAAAAGCAGCTGCCTCATGGCCTGTCTGCAGATAAAGGGCAGCAAAGGAATCCTGGCTGAATATGCTCCTGTTGGATCAGTGTGGGGAACAGCGACAAGTATGCAAGGTCAGGCACAGAGACAGGGGATCAAGGGCATTTAAAGACACAACACAGCTGAGTTGGGTTTTTTTTTCCCTTTTGGAAACCAGTCTCCATCTACAGAGCATCTTGGCTGCTGAACACTGTGCTACTGGTTGTCTACAACACAATCTGTGCATTCACCTTCCTGGGACAACTGTTACTTTTGCTACTAAGCTTCAGCAGTCCTTTCTTTTGAGTCACACAGACTGTTGCTGGAAGTCTGTACAGCAATTAAAAGTTAAAAAACCCAGCAGAGCTAGACTGCAGCAAAGTAATTCTTTATACACTTGAGAAAAAATGTCCAGCAATAGTTAGAACCAGAGAAGTAGAGATACATGCACATCTCGAAGTGCTCCATGCCTCCAACACATTCTGCCTCTGCCTTTTTGTTGTAAGCTACAGGACCCATAGTACTTCCAGGCACAGATGCCTGCTCAGCTTCACTAGAAAAAGTCCCCAAGATCTGCTGCTATTTTTGACCTGCCCTTGCCAGAGCTCCCAAAGCACAACCAACAGCCTCTTTGACAAGGACAGTTCAAATTGGCTGTTTAGCAGAGGTCAGCGGGATGACAGTATAGGTAAGACTGGGTGAATTAATTTGCTTGATATATGTGACAAGTGGGTAAACTCTATACTGCTCAAATTAGAACCCAATAAGTTGCATCTACTTGTATTTATATTTGACAATGCTATCAGCAGAGAGTCAGAGAAACATAAGTATCTATTGAAGACTCAGCTAGGACCTAACTAAATTAACTTCTCAGGATCAAGTGTTATTAAAACTGTCCTCTTCAGAGAGGAAGTGCTAATGCATTAATACCTACAGCGCAGTGGATACAAAAGAGTCCACGGAGAATTTATCCATGAAAACCAGAACATGATGTTACAAAGAAATCTAATATGGAGGAACAAAACCAGAATCCCTGCTTTAAAAATAAGTTAACTAAAACCAACTGCCAGAACATGACCTAAAAGGGGATGCGCTTTTAACCTCTTTTGCATCCAAAGTAATTTAAACGCTGCTAAAAGCTACTCAGTATCCCTGTGTGATCAAGGTACAAGCAAAAAGACACTTTTATCTTAGGAGTTAAGTGGAAATAAGGAATTTTGGGTGGAAACGTCAACTCTGGCAAACAGTGAAGTCTAAGCAGACTGAGATGGTGACACTATCTCAACATTTTCCATGGGACCTGGCGACTCTCTAAAGAAACCACATAGCTGCTGGGTGTACCTGCGGTAGGTCCAAGAAGGATTCATCTGCTAACTCTAATAAAGTGCTAGTCCCAGGCTATCTGCTTGTTAAACCCTTCCTGGCAGTTGTAGAAGTTTTAACAGTAACTTTGTGGATCACAGGAAAAGTTACAAGAAAATAGGGACACTTTCTGATTTAACCTGGATCAGCACATACTCTGCCAACTTCAAAGGGTCTATGCCAGATTCACACTGCTGTCACTTTTGATTCTTCACCTCTACCTTTTCTGCCTCTTGAATCTGTGCTTGACTGTTCTATCATTTTATCTAGATAGTCCAAGACAAAAATTAGCAAAAGGAAAACAAACCCCTAAGAATGTTGTTTAATTCTCTTGCACTGTCAAACCCACACATTTGGAGGGAGTTGATCAGACAGGCTTCCTACAGATCCACTGTGCTTTCAAACAGCCACAAAGACTTTATTGCACAAGAAACTCACAACAACATGTCAGGTCCTTAAAGTTACATGATTGAGACTTATAACTAGGACATAAATTAAATACCAGACTAAGCCCCTATTTCCATGCCAAAATCCACTGCCACATCCATGCAGCAGTATTTCACTCTTGGAAAATCCGAGGGGGATCATAAACTCAATCATCAGGGATTTTCAACCCATTTAGAAATGCAAACAGGATCCATTTTACTGAATGCCAAAGTCACAACAGCCAGACAAAATCCCTAATTTCTAACTTCTGGGAAAGTTTGTGAACACAACCCAGCTCCAGTCCTCCCACTCAGCCTCCCAGTTTGGATTTCATACAACATATAGATCACTAGAGGCTTCCCTTACATACGAGTTTATTTAAAGAAGTTGCCGAGACTTGCAATTACCTACTTTCCAACCCATAAAATAAAAGGCAAGTCTGAACTTTAAAGCTTGCAATGTGGAAAAAATGCAATTTAAAACCTTCATTTCTTTTGCCATTACCTTAAAAACAGCTCAGCGGCCATGAATAACAAAAGCAATTCAAGAAGAATAAACTGCCAGTCTCACCCCATCTCTGCCGGGTATCAGCTTCTTTCTCTCCCGTCCTTTCTTCAGCTGCCTGAGATTCTCTCCACGTTTTGATTTATTTCTCCCTTCCTCTTTCTTTCTGTCTGTCTTTCTCCGGATCCGGATGCTCTTTAAATTTCCTCCGGAATTTCACTTTGAAATCTTGCTAGTTTTGCTGTTGGCTCGAAACGCCCAGTAATCCCCGAGCGTGCCGGGCACCGAGGGCAGGGGCCGCCCGGACCCCCCCCCCGTCCCCGCTTTCCCCGGGCTGCGGGCGCCCACACCCAGCACCGGCCCCGAGCGCTCGGCGGGGAACTTCGGCACTGCCCCCCCGGCCGCCGCAGTCCCCAGCAGTTCCCCCTCTCGGCTCCCAGGATCCCTCCTTCCCTTCAGCATGGGAGGGGAGCGGCAGGATTAGGTGGTGCTTTTGCAAGCCCTTTTAGACAAAGCCGTCTGCTGCTGCTCCGGCAGCCCCGCAAGTTTTCCCCCCGCAGCCCAAGAAGCACAAGCCGCCTCCCGACTCGCGATTTCTTTGTTCTCTCTTTCCCTTTTTTTTTTCCTTTTCCCTCTCCTCTTCCCTATCCGCTTCCTCCCTCTGCTAACTGCCCCATCTCGGTCACGTTTCCCTCCGCTTCTTCTCCCGACTTTATTCCCGGGGCCGGGGCCCGGGGCCGGGGCCGGCTCGGCGGCACCACCTGCCGGGCAGAGCCGGCCCTGCGCCCGCCGCCCCCGGCACCCACCGCCGGAGGATTACCGCCGGCTGGATTACAGCGCTGCCCTGGGATCGGAATGGGCGCTGGCTACCCAGGGAAACAAAAATCGCTTTCTTTTCTCTTAGTCTAGACATCTGCCCCTCGGAAATCGGGCGAGCCTTGTCGCTCCGTCTTTCATGAAGTCATTTGTACAAGTGGAAAATTAACATAAACCGTGAATATATTTTTATGAAATGGGAAAATACCCTGGGAAGAAGGGAGGCTGAAAAGGCTTGGGGGAGCGGAGTGGGTAATTAGCAATCAGCCACTCCCAGCGTGCCGCTGCGGCCAGAGGAGCTAATGCATGCAGTCCTCGGCTGTGATAACCAGGCACGGAGCCGGAGAAGAACCTCCGCTCCTCTGGGGAACCCTCTGCCCAGGTCCAGTGCCCACACCTCCGGGATGCTGAACAACTGGAGAGGGCTCACGGGAGAGCCGTGAGAGAGAACAAACCATGCTCTGTATTGAAAGAATAAAAGTGCTTCATCTGTTCATCAAAGACAGGGTATGGCGTGACTTGATCATAACCATAAAAAAAAACTTCCTGGTAGGAAGAAATTTTATACATGAGTGCTCTTCAGTTCAGCCAGCGCAGGTGTAACAAGCTCCAAGGGCTGGAAGCAGACGCGGAACAGGTCAGTCTAGGAATAAGACGTGTTTTTCATCACAAGGGTAGGGAGGCACCAGTATCCTGGCCTCATGAAGGCAACAGAAGGCCAGACCAGGAACGGATCTTTTCATGTCTTCTCCTTATATCCAACACGTTCGCAGCAGAGATTTTGCAAAGGGCAGCTGCTCTGGGCGCTGCTCGCGTTCTGTTCTGTAGGCAAAGCCCAACGTGCATCCAGCCTGGTTTTTCCACACAAAAGAAGGACAAGGATGGGGCCTGCATGTGAACACTACCTGTTCTAGTGTGTTTGTGAAAAAAATCAGAATTGACCATTATCAACTGTATTGGGCAGGGTGCAGTTACTCTGGGCTTTAAGTCAGTAACTTTGAAGCTGTAGACAAGCTTCACACAGTTTTTTTGTGCAGGTAATAACTGTGCAAGCTTCTCATACAAACGTGCCTAGTAAAGAACCTGAAGTTTGGCTTTGGCAGGAAACTATTTCCGTATTGCCTCCCAGACGCCCCTACCAGTACACTCAAATCCTGATCGAACACCAGCACTTGATTCCCACAAGTGCCTCCATTTTGCCTTAAAATATGCCACTACTTTAACACGAAGCTTCCCATGAGCAGACTCAAGTGTCGCTGCTGGATGATCCCAGCCCCCTTTACACTCCTAACTTATCAGGACACTTTAATAGGAAATCTTCCCAAGAGAGGTTTTGTTAATCCCAGCCAGTTCTGCACATTAATTTCTCCATGAGTTAATAACTTCAGAACTTGCACCAAAATAGTAAGCTCTGTGCTAGTAATTTTACAATAAGAGGTGGAAGTAGCATTCATAATTTGGCAATATTCGTATCAGAGTTCAATACTAGCAGCATAAACACTAGCAATAACATCACTTCTCACACTCTGCTTTCAGTGTTTTACCTCCACCTCTACTTTGTAGGGTGTGTTTAGAAGGGAGATTTACTGACACATGTAATTCCTTGTCTCCAGTGTCCCCACTACTACTGCCCCCGTGTTTGGGGTTATGGTTTGCTGCCAGTAATTTTAAGTGTAACATCAGACAAATACATTCTGAGCACACTAAGGTAATGCCCTGTTTAAAACAATGGCAGCAGCTGTCAGCACAAAAGATTTTTGGCACCAAGAGAGCTGAATCGAGGTTAGAAGCAATGGGGAAGGTTTGCGTTTTCACAGCTTATGGGTGTACGCTCAGGAAAGTCACTGCAGGGTGCAAGTTGGAGCAGCGCTGGATGGCTGTTCTGAGCTGGCAGCTGAACAAGCAGCTCAAGGACTACCTTGGTGCTGTGGCAGCGCTGAGCACCAGCAGTCCTCTTGCCCCATATTCTCCTTCCTTCCTACGTGCAGTGTGGCAACTAATGACAAAAGGACTAAAACTGCACCGAAGACACTACTGAAAGTAGGGCACAGTATCTTTCATATCGACCTGTTAACTGTAACTTATCTATGACTTCTCTTAGAAGCTAATTATTTTACACATTTAAATTAGGGTAATTAGATCAGCAGGAATTGAACTAAAACCAAATTCTGGTAGCCTTGTGAGGATTTTCTGAAATGGGGTTTTATATTCCATCTGCACTTCCTTCCACTATGGGAAGAGAGTTGAGTGTCCCCAAAGATAAGAATGGAAATTTCGATCACTTCCTATGTTATTAGTTACATACCACTATCCAGTCTGCATCATTAATTTCCATATAGCCCTTTGCATATAGGGAGTAGAAATATAGGTAAAGGAACCCTGCAAGGAAGTAGGCTCCCTTTCAAACTGTGAGACAAGATATGCACCTCAGATCTTGGTTTCTGCATTGCACTGATACAATCACTGAAACGCAGCCAGGCAGGTCTTGGCATAATGGTTTGCCAGCAGCTGTCCAGTCTTACGATGTTCAGACATCCATTTTATATAGTTCTCTTGTCCACACTTTGTGCCTACGGCTTCACCTTGCTAGAAGGGCTGACGTTGTTCCCACCTTTACATCCTTCCACAGAAAGTGCAAACACTGCTGTGTTGGTAAGTAGCAGCGTTACAGACAGACACAGTAATCTGTGAATTTGCTTCTTGCAAGTTCAACAACTGACCTCACCTTCTTTCTATGGTATTTGCACATAATACACAAGAACCTGTTGTTATGAAGCGTAACAGAATAATAATTTGATCCAGGGAGAAAGAAGGCATCCAAAAAAAAGAGACCGTGACCTTGCTCCAATGTAAAGAAGCTTAACCTATTTACGTTTTAAGGGAGAAAAAACACTGAATAGCTGCTTATCTGCTCTTCCTTCCTATCCAGGTATCTATATTGTACACGTCATCTTCATTTCCGAGCGTTCCTGTCTAACTTGAAAGCAGGTGTCTTGCTACAGTTGGTACAGACTTCCACATAGGAGAATCCATTTTGAAAAAGGCTTCTCCTTCCATAGCTATGTGAAAATTGGAAAAAAATGAGCCGTCCACGTCTAGAAGAGCATCGACCTTGTACTTTATGCACATCTGGCAAGAGACAGAGTGAGGCAGCATAGCCTTTTGTTCAGGGATTTTTGTGATCAAGAACCCATGTTATTTTCCAAACAAGAAAACATAAGAGAACATTTATTTGAAAATGGAGAAAGAAGTGCCTGAGAAAAAATGCTCAACTTTCAATGGCCTTTAACAAAAGAAGCTACCATGTCTGAATTTTGACCACACCTCAGAAATAAATTCAGAACAATGATGCAGTACAGAAGTTGATTCATGACATTTTTGGACAGAGGAAGATGTAACATAAAGGTCACTAAACACACATTAGAAAAATAAATGCGTGCAAAGTGTTTTGAAAGCCTAAATAAAGGGAAAGCAGAGGAAAATAGAGAAAGATAAAATATAGGAAGATGACTCGGGAACTTCTAACAAAGCACCAGATCTGACACCAATACTCACTATGGTCAGTGACAAGTAATTTAACCTCACATGTAAAATGAGGATAGTAGCAACCTCTTGGGGCACTGGGAGACTTAATTAGTTGCTATTTGTAGATTAAACAGAAAGTCTGAAGGTGAAAGCACTGAACGCTAAGTATTATTAGCTTCTGAAGTATAAATTTCTGTAATTGGGCAAGCCCAACATTACAAAAAAGTGGATCAGTGTCAATTTTTGAAAGAAATTTATTCTTACGGTTCTATCATGTCAAAAAGGTACCCAAACGAGGAATTTTGCTTTTAAAAGTAGTAACTGGTAACACATCTATGTAATACACAATGCAGCTTGTCAACTTAAATTCAGAGTTTCTGACTCCTACCCAAATTTACATTCCACATTCCTTAACAGGAAACATCATGTCATCTTAACCAAACAGCTCTCTGAGCTGCAAGCTCCCAGAGCTCTCTGTGAAACTTGCACTGTGCAGTGCACTGACGCTGCACTCCTTAAGAAAAGCTCACAAGCATTGATTCATTAATGTTCAAACATGTTCGTTTGTGTGGCTGAACTCTTCCTTACACTGCCTGATCCCTCTGTAGCTGGTGCTGGACTTCCCAAGCTAGCTGTACCAGTGGTTTTTTGGCTGGTTTCTCTGCTCTTCCAAGGCAGAGATAAATGACCCTTGTAGAAGTTCCAAATGAACAAGAAAAAGAAAAGGAAAGCAAACCCAGCCCCCAAGAGTTTTAAAACAAGCTTCTCTCTTTGGCTGTCCGCAGATTTCTGTTTTGCTGCCTCGTTCAGTAAAGAAGGCGGTACTGAAGACTGAAACCCCTCAGCTTCTGCTTCATTATGCTTATTTGCTGTGGCAATAACATTTGCTTCCTCTGTCTTTTCTTGGGCATAAAGGGCATAGCGGGCCACAGTGATAATGAATTCCTTCCCTTTGGATTTCTCCACCGAGAGACAATCATAGAATCCAGCCGCATCCATTGTCACATTAAATATTGCTATTCCTCCATCATAGAGGAGATATTTAGAGTCCTTGGCCTGAAGTCTGCTCCCATTAAACTTCCACACGATGCTTGCCAGATTGGACAGAGGAACACATTTAAGATGAACATTGTTTCCAAGGGTAAAGAGATATTTTCTCACACTATTTTCTGAAATGATGAAGATAATTTTTTTAAAGTAAGAACACTGGGGATTTAGTTTAACTTACATAACCAAATACATATTCAAATAAATACAGAATTTAATTCAGCAGTCTTGACAATGGGTAATGAAGAGGTAAGGGTTAAAGACAAAGAAATCCCATTATTAACAGGTCTGATGATCAGTGAGTGACATC